CAATGAGAGAGAAAAAATACTGAACTTGGACTTCATCCTGGCTCTGCCGTTAATGATTTGAGAGATGAGGCACAGATTTTCTGGGCCCCAACGCCTTGCATAAACAGCTTGCAAACAGTGCTGTGGGATGTTGACTGAGACTTTCTATTGCCCAGAACTGATGACAGATATCAAAAACAACAACCTCAAAAATGACAGAATGATCTCTGTTCGTTTCCAAGGCAAACCATTCAATATCACGGTAACCCAAGTCTATGCCCCAACCAGTAATGCTGAAGAATCTGAAGTTGAACAATTCTATGAAGAACTACAAAATCTTCTAGAACTAACACCCAAAAAAGATGTCCTTTTAATTATAGGGGACTGGAATGCAAAAGTCAGAAGTCAAGAAACACCTGGAGTAACAGGCAAGTTTGGTCTTGGAGTACAGAATGAAGCAGGGCAATGGCTAATAGAGTTCTGCCAAGACAAAGCACTGGTCATAACAAACACCCCCTTCCAACAACAAAAGAGAAGACTCTACAGATGGACATCACAAGATGGCCAACACCAAAATCAGATTGATTATATTTCTTACAGTCAAAATGGAGTTGGCTTAAAGCTCAATATTCAGAAAACAAAGATCATGGCATCCAGTCCCATCATTTTATGCTAAATAGGTGGAGAAACAGTGGAAACAGTGGCAGACTTTATTTTGGGGGGCTTTAAAATCACTGCAGATGATGATTACAGCCATGAAATAAAAAGATGCTTACTCCTCGGAAGAAAAGTTATAGCCAACCTAGATAGCATGTTAAAAAGCAGAGACATTACTTTGCCAGCAAAAGTCCGTCTAGTCAAGGCTATGGTTTTTTCAATGGTCACATATGGATGTGAGAGTTGAACCATAAAGAAAGCTGAATGCTGAAGAATGGATGCTTTTGAACTGTGGTGTTGGAGAAGACTCTTGAGGGTCCCCTGGACTGCAAGGAGATCCAACCAGTCCATCCTAAAGGAGATCAGTCCTGGGTGTTCATTGGAAGGACTGATGCTGAAGCTGAAACTCCAATCTTTTGGCCACCTAATGCGAAGCGTTGACTAACTGGAAAAGACCCTGATGTTGGGAGGGATTGAGAGCAGGAGGAGAAGGGGACGACAGAGGATGAGATGGTTGGATGGCATCACTGACTCGATGGACATGGGTTTGAGCAAGCTCTGGGAGGTGGTGATAGACAGGGAGGCCTGGCGTGCTGGAGTCCATGGGGTCACAAAGAGCCAGAGATGACTGAGTGCCTGATCTGAACTGATGACAGATCACAAAGCAGAGAACAAGAAGGATCAAGTACTCCTCAAGCTAAGGACAGCCATGACTGATGGGGTCAGGTACCCACTTCAAGAATGACGAGGCAGCAGGGGAACAGGCTTTGCCACCTCCATCATCTGTAAAATGATGTCAGCACCCCACCCCATCACCCTGGTATTCACCATTTCCACATAGTCCATCGGCTTTCCATAAACAGAGTCTGCACCTCTTTGCCTGTGAGCCTTCTCCACTGGAGCATATGGTACCGTGGAAGTACAGAGAGCTGCCATTTGTTCCAGAGCAACCTTTAGCAAAGTATGGACAGGAATCAGTAGGAAAATACACCAGCATCCTCATCTTCAAGAAAGAGACCAAGATATGGAAACGTCCATGAAACTTAACCTGCTAGTCTCTCATTTGGAAATGCTACCTGACATGGTACAAAAGCTCCTTAAATTTGCCATAGTAGGATTGGCTAAGCTGTCACAACAAGTAGCCCTAAATCTCAGTGCTTTTTGCTAAGTCACATCAGTCATGTCTGACTCTTGGTGACCCTGTGGACTGTAGCCCACCAGGCTCCTCTGTCCCTGGGATTCTCCAGGCAAGAATACCATAGTGCGTTGCTGTGCCCTCCTCCAAGGGATCTTTCTGACCCAAGGATCAAACCTGCAAGTCATGTCTTCTGCATTGGCAGGTGGATTCTTTACCATTAGCACCACCTGGGAAGCCCCTAAATGTCAATAACTTGCCGCCATAGAGGTTTGCTCACCGGCGCAAGGATCAGTGTGGGTGGGGCATCTTCCTGGGTGGCTGTCTCCCACACATTCCCCCAAAGAGTCCATCTTGAGACTCCACAATTTTCAACACCCAGCTTCCAAAGGGCAAAACGGATGAGACACACCGGTTTTTAACTATCTTTGCCAGGAGGCTTGACTCCCCATTCGCAGCGCATTGGCCAGGACAAGTCACATGGCACCAACCTAACTGGCGGCTCTGACTCTCCCTTCAGGACTCAAAGAGCACCTTCTCCATGAAGACCTGCTCGATCGTTCAGCCTCCTTCTAAGAAGAACAAAAAGCTCCGTCCTCCTTTATGTTCCCACAGCCCTTGACACATGCCTCTACTCCATGCTTCTCGGACCGCTTTGTCATTTTGTTCTCCTATTATTCTGTGAGCACCACAGAAGGTTAAAAAAGCTTGCTTCTTTTCTTGTCTCCATCACAGTGCCGAGGAAGTAGCTAGGGTTTAATAAATGTTTAGTGAATGAATGAATGATGGCTTTATAAATAGCTATGACCTTGCAAGGTTCCTGCTGCATCTAATCACAGGGCACACAATCAGATCTCCACAAAGCCACCCTTGAACCTTCTGATGTGGAAACCCCCTGGACTATATTTCTCCTCTGGGGGCGGCAAGGAGCCAAAGACAAGGGAACAGCAGATAAGATAAAACCCCGGATCAGGAGCCTTGAATTAGTACAGTGGGACTCGGATGCCAAACATAGGTCAGGAGTAAAAACTGGACCTCGGGCACTAACATGCTCTCCAGCATGGCTCTGCTCCCTGACCCCCAGCGCCCACCGACACACACAGTCCCCAGCTCAGAGCCCTGGGGCACCTGGTGTTTCGAAGACCACAGTCCAAACCTTCACAGGAGATGAGCGGAGCCAAGCTGATTCCCACCTGGCAAGAAGGAAGGAAGGAACTAGAGATTTCTCAGCTGAGGAGCCTCTGAGAAAAGCAAAACTTTAAGCTTCCTAAGCTTCATCACTCCTGCCATATGCTGTGACTTTTCCATTCATACCAGAAATTGTGGAAATTTCAGCTTCCTAATATAACATTGAGAAACTAAGAGTTTATAAATAGGTCCTGACTCAGAGCAAGGCCCTTGCTAATGTTCTTCAAGCCCTGTGGGAATTGATGCCCCAGCCAAGGCCCTTACTTTTGGGGACAGTCCCTGCCAAGGAGATGCTCGCTGGCCTTCTGTGACCTTGTCATCCTCGCCAGCTCTCCATCAGAATTTACACTCACTGGGACTCTCTGCTCGTGCCAAAAATCAAACCAGATTGTGCCAAGACGAGAGCTAGGAAAATGACAAGGTGGGTGGGGGTGGGGGGAGTGTAACAGAAAACTGAAGCGGAGGAGGTTTTGTGTTTTGGCCAAAGCACAGTCACCCCTCTGTACATGGGGCCCTTGACTATATAAACAATTTGAGTCACCCAGAATTAAGTCACCCAGAATTCATTGAGTCAGCACCATTCTGGTAACCTGGCCTAACCTGATCCTACAAAAGACACGCTATACTTTCCAATGTGAGTGGTATTCTTGCCAGGCTGCCCTTCTGGAACCAAGCCCCTAGGAAACCCCATAGACACAAATCCTAGGGTATAGGACATCTGGTTTGCCTGACTTTGGGGCTAAGGGTCAGAGAGCCCTGAGGATAAGGTTCTGCTCTGGATGCAGAGCATCCAATTGAGATGGTTACATAATAGGAAAAAAATTGAGTCATAGAAAAATATAAAAAGTATAACAAATGTCACCCATAATATTTCCACCCAGGGTTACCCACGGTTGAAATTTCACTCTATTTAAAACCAATGTTTTTCCTATGGTTGCATAATTTGCATAGACTCAGGACTGGTTACATAATTTGCAGGGACCAGTGCAAAACGAAAAGGTGGGAACGCTTGTTTAAAATTTATGTAGACTTTCAAGACAGTGACAGCAAAGGGCCCATGTGAGCATGGGGTTCTGTGTGACCACCCATGTCACATGCATGAAGCCAGCCCTGACTGCTCATCTGGCCTGGTCCCAGGCATCGTAGAAGGACTTAGGGTACTTGAGGAAGATGTTCTGAAGTGTGGCTTCCCTCAAACATGGGGGTGAGGACAGAGCTTACCTGGGTCAGAGTGAAGTACTGTGTCAAGATTACAGAGATAAGGGACATATTGTAAAGTGAGTTACTACATTTGTCCCCAAGTCCCCAGATGTCAAGGACCTAGTGACAGAAAAGGCTAAGTAATTTATGAGGCAATTAGATGGTAGAATATTATACAGTCACCAAAAATGGTATTTACAAGAGGTTTATAATAATACAGAGCAAATTACTGTAATATAAAATCAAATGAAGGAAATATAATCACAGTTATATGAACATGTACAAACAGAAAAAAAGTTTGAAATAGAGTAAAATTTCAACAGGGGTTAATCTTAGGTGAAAGTATTATAGGTGACATTTATTATGTCTCAATTTTCTCCAATAAACAAATATGGATATTACAAGGAAAATAAAATATGAAAAATATAAGTGAAATACAAGTAGAAACTACACCTATATGTGGTATCTCAAGACTTCTCACTTCTGATGAGTCCTAGAAACATTTTATTAGGAAGTTTTGCAAGAAGTGGACCTAGGCAATTTGTATTGTTCTTCATCCTGGTCACAGCACCAGTTGTCTTGCTATTTACACTGTCCGCACCATTCTCTGAACCCAGGGTAGGCAAGGTGCAAGCTGACAGGATGGAAAAGAGGCAAAGAGCCCCGGGAACTGCAGACACATTTACGCTCTCCTGGCTGGCACAGCAGCCGTGGCAGTGGACACGCTGTACCCTCTCCTCTCACGGCTGACCCAAGGCACTCGGCCGGGACTCAGCAGTAACGCGGCCGCTTTCTTAGGCGGGGCCCACGGGGCCCACCGCACACAGTGACCGTGACCCGCATGCGCAGCGCTGTAGGTGAGCTCGGCTGTGACACAGTCATTATTTACAGAACGTGGGTGAGACGGCCTGAACACACCATCTTGGCTAATTTGGTCTCGCCCCTCTCCACCCTCCAGGGTCTCCTGCCCCACCAATTACGTAGGGTCTGCCGTCTGCAGCATACCCGTAGCACACAATACCACTGTTTGAACTCACCCCTTGCAACAACAGTAGTGACAACACCACCAAACAGTTACAGCCCCAACACATTTCAGACTCAGTGCCAGGTGTCACCTGAGGCTCATGCTGCAGCTCTTGCCCGCATGAGCTAGAGGAAGCACCCTCTGCGTGTGGAGGGCCTTTATCTTCCATGACCACGTCCAGGCCACCAACTGGCCGTGTGAGTCTGCAGGAAAGCCTCCACAGGGGCAACTGCGTTCCTGTGGAATTCCATTATTATGGACCCACAATAATCCTTCAAGGAGAGGACTTTGCGTGACACTCATAGACCACCCATATGATTAACTTTTCTAAATCTGAGGGCACAGCCCTTAAAGTGCACTTTCTACATCATAGCACACAGACTTCACAGTACACCTTCTACATAGGACACAGCCTTTGCAGTATCAGGGCTGTTCAGTTGCTCAGTTGTGTCCGTCTCTCTGTGACCCCTTGAACCACAGCACGCCAGGCCTCCCTGTCCATCACCAACTCCCGGAGTCCACCCAAACTCATGTCCATTGAGTCGGTGATGCCATCCAACCATCTCATCCTCTGTCATCCCCTTCTCCTCCTGCCTTTAATCTTTCCCAGCATCAGGGTCTTTTCCAATGAGTCAGCTCTTCACATCAGGTGTCCTAATTGTTGGTGTTTTAGCTTCAGCATCAGTCCCTCCAATGAAGACCCAGGACTGATCTTCTTTAGGATGGACTGGTTGGATCTCCTTGCAGTCCAAGGGACTCTCAAGAGTCTTCTCCAACACCACAGTTCAAAAGCATCAATTCTTTGGTGCTCAGCTTTCTCTGTGGTCCAACTCTCACGTCCATAGATGACCACTGGAAAAACCATAGCTTTGACTAGACATATGCCTGCACACAAGTCAGCCCTCATTTGCGTCTGTGTAACCCAGATGGGACTGCTGCCAGCTCGGGCCCCCTTCAGGGTCTTCACACTTTCTAAATGGTGTCTCGCATGCCATTCCTCTACTTTTCTCTGTAAAGACCCGCGAAACCCCCACAGATGCTGGGCCCACTCCTGTCTCCCAGAGCTGCAAAAGCCACACTGTTAAGGTTCCCCTTGCTTTTGCTGAAACTATTTACCCTCCCCAACTCTGCCCAAGTACATGGTTGATACATCATGAGCTCAGTCACATCAGGGGCCCCCGGGGTCCTTTGAGGATGACCTCCCTGCATCCTAAGCTGCTTGTGCTTTAGTGTTGCTGCACAATGGGCCTCACTGCCAGGTGGAGACCCGCAGCCTCATAACATTCATCACCATCGTCCCTTACTGCCTTGCTGTCAGAGGCACTGGGCTCTTCAGGACCATGAGCTTCTTGCTCTAACGCCAATGTGTGTTGCTCGAGTTCTTCCAAATGTCTCTGCACACTGCACTCCAGCACAGCATCCATATTCACCTTCAGGGCAGTAGGAAAATCCACCCCACGTACCAGCAGCTATCTGTGCTGCCTTCTTCGGCAAAAGGGAACTCACTGCCTGCAACGCCTTTCCAGTGCTCTCTGGTGAACCATCCACCACCTTCCAGTCTTCCGCCAGAGCCCACACTGAGAGGATCGCAGCCGCCCAGTGCTGCGATATATGGTGGCCACTGGCTTGCTCCATCCAGTGGAGTCTCAGGCTTCTCTACCAGATGGGTATCCTGTCAGTTACACCAATTTTTGACAGGCACGTACAACATAACTGCATACAACCTGTCTCCTGGTCGGCACAGCAGCTTTAACAGTCTTCTCTCCTGGCTGACACAGCCGCCGTACCAGTAGACACCTTATATTCTGTCCTCTCGTGGCTGACCCAATGGACACAGCCGTGACTCAGCCGCAATGCCGCCACTGTCTTTGTGGAGCCCATACAGGCGAGCCGCACACGGCAGCCTTGACCAAGGGAGTACCTCCTGACATGCATGCATGTGGTGCTATAAATGATCTCAGCTCTTACACAGTCGTTATTTACAAAACATGGGGCAAGGGAGCCTGGACAGGCCGTCTTGGCTAGTTTTCTCTCTCCCAACACTATTGAAAGTGCTCTTTAATTCCTGAATGGTGGGCAAAGTAAGTTATTGTTTTACGTAATACTTATTTCTGCAACGCATTTTGCCTGATAATATTAAACACTAATATATATGTATATTGAGTTATTTTCATACCAATTTGCCTAATGTCAACCCAACCTCTTCTGTTCCTTGAAGCGGGTTATGTCACTGCTCGAGAAATGATAGGCAACGTTATTGAAAATAATTGAGGGCCTGGAAGACAGATGTTTAGATGCAGATGTAGCAAAGCCATGATTACACACTAAAATATTCTAAAACTGTTACTTTCCATTTCTCTATTTCTGACCTTGATTTCCTTGTGGCCTCCTTCACTCCATTACCAAGACAGTATTAGGTGAGTATCTTCATTCCTGTTGCTATAACAAAAATATCATAGATTGGTTGACTTAATAAACATTTATTTCTTACATTTCTGGAGGCTGAGAATCCAAAATCAAAACCCTGGAAGATCCAGTGTCTGGTGAGCACGCACCTCCTGGCCTGTGGACAGCTCCCTCCTGGGTGCATTTTCAGAGGGGAGGGAGGAGGAAGGGAGAGGATGGAGGAGGAGGGGAGGGGAGGGAGGGGAAGGGAAGGGAGGGGAGGGAGGAGGAGGGAGAGGATGGAGGAGGAAGGGAGGGGAGGGGAGAAAGAGGGGAGGAGGGGAGGGGAGGGAGGAGGAAGGGAGAGGAGGGAGGAGGAGGGGAGGGGAGGGGGGAGGAAGGGAGGGGAGGGAGGAGGAGGGAGAGGATGGAGGAGGAGGAAGGGAGGGGAGGGGAGAAAGGGGGGAGGAGGGGAGGGGAGGGAGGAGGAAGGGAGGGGAGGGAGGAGGAGGAAAGTCTTTCAGTCTCCTCTTCTAAGGGCACTAATCCCGCCATGCTGATTCCACCTGCATAATCCAATCACCTCCAAATGCCGACACTTTGGGAATTAGGGCTTCAAAATATCAAAGCAGTGGTGGGGTGGAAAACAACAGAGGATGGGATGGTTGGATGGCATCACCGACTCGATGGACACGAGTTTGAGCAAGCTCTGGGAGTTGGTGATGGACAGGGAGGCCTGGCGTGCTGCCGTCCATGGGGTCGCGATGAGTCAGATGCAACTGAGCGACTGAACTGAACTGACCTGGGGTAGATGAAACATTCAGTCCACAGCACAGGTGACATAGAAGTTGATTTGCCAGCTAAAGACTACTCAGTATCTGCCAGTTTAAAGCAGTTTCCTTCAGAGTTGTTCAGTATAAACTCAAATTTTCTGAGGCACTTAACTCACAGAAGATCAATTGAGAAAACTAAGAGACTTGGGGGTATCTCTTAGAAGTTACTCAGAATGCATATTCCTCTAGATGCTATGCACCTGATATATGGAGTAAGCAGAAGATGAGAATTATTCAGGAGACACAGTTCTGGCATGATTTCAAGTGTCTTTGGTGACCTCTGCTTTGTCATTTGAAGAAAGGTATGAGAAACACTCTACAGACTTCCCTGGCAATCCAGTGATTAGGACTCCAAGCTTCTACAGCAGGGGCCTGTGTTCGATCCTTGGTCAGGGAACTAAGATTTTTTTTTAAAAAAAGAAACACCCTAAAGGAGACTTATTTGGGGAGTTACATAGGGACAGTGAGGACTAGGTGTCAATTAGGAAAACCCACAAGATACATTTCTCTCAGAAATGTTCGCTAGAAATACAGTTCATCTGTTTGTCTTCTGGATCCTCTAACCATGGAAAGGATCATGGTTTCCTCTTTGCTTGGACTGGTGGGAAGCTTAAAGCCAACTTTGTAACTCATTTCCAATATGTGTATATTTTACGAGACGTGTTTTGTTCCCTAAATTTACATATAGTTCAATGGACTTTTCTTACTCTTATTTTTTTTCTTAGTCCAAATTTCTTCACTACTTAGTTTCTGTCTTATTAGATATACTCTGTAAACCACCTCAAAATTGTTTGGAAATAATGACACCCTCCATGAAGATCCAACACCCTCACAGTCACAGAAACACTCTATCTTGTAAGGTTGTCTTATAAGCGCTTCTATTGAGGACCTTTGTAGCAAGATGTCTCTCTCTGTGGATTGCACTTCTTAAGAGAGTAAAATTACCATTTGGCACTTGAAAAAGTCAGATTAAAACTAAATATTAAAAAAACTAAGATCATGGCATCCGGCCCCATCACTTTATGGCAAGTAAAAGGGGAAAAGGTGAAAGCAGTGACAGATTTCCTCTTTTTGGGCTCCAAAAGCACTGTGTATGGTGACTGCAGCCATGAAAGTATAAGATGATTGATTCTTGGCAGGAAAGCCATGACAAACCTAGACAGCATGTTAAAAAGCAAAGACATCACTTTGCCAACAAAGATCTGTATAGACAAAGCTATGGTCTTTCCAGTAGGCGTGTGCAGATGTGAGAGTTGGACCATAAAGATGGCAGAATGCCAGAAAATTGATGCTTTCAAACTTGATGTTGGAGGAAATTCTTGAGAGTCCCTTGGACTGCAAGGAGATTAAACCAGTCAATCGTAAAGGAAGTCAACTCTGAATACACACCAGAAGGACTGATGGTGAAGCTTAAGCTTCACCAATACTCTGGCCACTTGATGAGAACAGCGGACTCATTGGAGAAGATCCTGATGCTGGGAAAGATTGAGGGCAGGAGGAGAAGGGGATGTCAGAGGATGAGATGGTTGGATGGCATCACCAGGGCAATGGACATCAATTTAGGCAAACTCCAGGAGACAGTGAGGGACAGGGAAGCCTGATGTGTTGCCATCCATGGGGTCATGAAGATTTGGACACAACTCAGTGACTGAACAACAACAACACCTAACAAGCTGTTGAAAAGCATTTGCTAGATTGAATGATTGCCAGAATGAGGGAATGCTTTGAAAAGATTGAACAATATGCTAAAGTGACTTACACTGTGGTATTCATTGCACAAGACAAATTGTTTTAAAATATTGTGATATTGTTATTTTAAGTCTATAAAATAAATAGGATAAAATTTTAACATCAGGTTTTTCAGTGCAATTCACAGTCTTGCTCTGCAAGTGACTGGCTGGCTGGAAACATAGTTGAGATTCTTTATTCTGCAGGTTCGCAAGCATGGAGCTCCCGGAATCAGGTCCTATAGAATAAGATCTGCTATCAAGTTGAAGACCCTTTTCTTCAAGCCACAAAGTCTTTAAGCAAAAATTCCAACGTGTTTGAATTAATGCAACAAGCAAATCTTTTCCACAGGGAAACTAGTCTAGTCTAAAAGTAGAGTTTATACTCAGAACCCCCTGAGTAACCATGAAAGCATCACCCCCATTAGGTGTTGAACCCAAGGCTTGTGAGCTTTCCAGGCTGTGTGAAGACTTCTGCCATCTTAATCACCGTAACACTTTTAGGAGAAACACCGACTGAAACCACTCACTGCGACCATCAGCACAAGCTGTTTTACAACAGAAGGTCCTAGTAAGGGACACGGAACTAACGAGTCACCACCAACCGGAAGAACCCAGGAAAGGTCAAAAGGAGAGAGGAGACGCCAGTCCACACGTCCTCCCAGAATCCTCCGCGCCGGAATCCATCTCGTCCGAGTGATGCCGCCAGGAAGGACCCGAGTCAGAACGACTGGCCAGAGACGACCCGGAAACGAATCCCCTCGCCATACACCCGAGACCACGAGCTGCGTGCAGAGCAGTCCTCCGGGGTTCCCTCACCCCGCTGCTCCCGCCCGGGCGTGTCTGCCCGATGACGTCTCCTGCTTTGTGAGCGCACATGCCTCCTCGGATGATTCATTTCTGAGCTTAGACGAGAGCCCGCTCCGGGCCCTGGAAGGGGTCCCTCTTCCTGCCACAGGACTGGCCAAGAGCTTACATTTGCAGAGCTCTCGACAGCCTCCAACAGCCCTTACCAGGCTCCCAGCGTAAAGGTGACAGTCATTCTCTAGGCATTCGCTCTGCGCCAAGCTCGAGGGTGGCTTTACCTGTATTAAGCAGGGAAAACCTTGATTCGTATTAATAATCACCCTTTTTTTCCAGCTGCAAAGGAACATCAATTTCCAGATTCCTTCATAGTGCTTTGGGCTTCCTTGGTGGCTCAGAGGGTAAAGCGTCTGCCCGCAATGCGGGAGACCTGGGTTTGATCCCTGGGTGGGGAAGATCCTCTGGAGGAGGGAAAGGCAACCCACTCCAGTGTTTTTGCCTGGAGAATCCCATGGACGGAGGAGCCTGGAGACACGCAGGGCTACACTCCACACTGGACCATTCAGCTCCCTGGCTGTCGCACCTAAACTTGCTTCTCTCTTCTCCCAGCAGCTGTTGCGTTTTCCTCAGCTCAGACTTCCATCTCCTCTCTTACTGTGGACTTTTCTTTCTGAAATCTCTCTTGGCCTCCTCTGCTGTGCCAGTTCCTCCACCTACTGAAGCCTTCCGTAGGGGTCTTCCGGCCTGTCTTCTTGCTGGAGGGCCCAACTCTCCAGCAGCATGCTCATTTGCATCCTCACTCATCTCTCAGCGCTGTGAGAAAGTGAAAGTGAAGTCACTCAGTCGTGTCCAACTCTTTGTGTGGAGTGTAGCCCTTCCCTGAAATCAGGTCAACAACCCCAGTGAGTGATGTGTGCAGAGTTAGGATTCTAAAACACGGCTGAGTCCCACACATCAGTACTTTCTCTCTTTGAAGGTCCATTACTCTGTACTTGGTTTCAACAAACTCCAGCCCCTGGGCTGAGTCTGGCCAGCCTGGCTTTGCAAAATTCAAGTTTTATCAGAACAGATACACCCATGAAAAACTGACTGAGCTGCTTTCACACTGCAAAAGTCAAAAGGTAGAAGCAAGGAGCGGTCAGAGAGTTGCATCCTATGGCCCACAAAGCCTGCAATGCTTGCTCTCTGGCCCTCTAGAGAAAGTTTGCTGAGCCCTGCTCTCTACTTCCTAAATGTGAAATACGGACATACCAATGGAGGGGAAAGCATTTTATCAGTCAGGCTAAGGGTTTTGAGGAAATTTAGAGTCAGCAAACCTGAGTTAAAGATTGATTCACTGGCTCCTTGGCTAAATCCTCCCATCTGTTAAATAGGGTTAATAATACATACTTCACAGAGTTATAAGGAGACTGAATTGTGAAAATTATTTTTAAGGCACACTTTGCAATTCATAAATAGAAAAGAAATGTTAGATATTGATGATAATGGCTCACAAGTGGCTCAAAACTTGGAAATGGTAAACACTACAGAAGCCTCAGGCATTGCTCACACACACACACACACACACATATGTCACATTGCTGAGATATATATATATATATATATATATATCCTCTGCCACTGTATTCTTGGGCAGGTACGGGCTGAACAATGAGTCTTACAAGATTCTTTAAAAGACACTTGATCCCTCTTCTCCAGAATTATTAGTACACTACTTTTTGTCTTAAAAAGTTCTCAACAAAAGTTTAGTTTGAAATTTTCCTATGTGATCGCTTTCCACTTCCAGCAAGCCCATCAACTGTGACTTTCAGCCACAAATGTGAATCTGACCAGGCTGAATAAATCTGAGGAGGTCATACAACAACTATAAAGTAAGGTTTCATCCCAAGCAATGAAAATGAAGCCATCACAGTGCCTTAACCATGAGAGGACTGTCACTGAATTAAAGGGTGCTCATAATATATATATATATATAGAGAGAGAGAGGGGGGGGGGGGGGAGAGAGCGTCCTGGACTTTGTTTTGGTTCTACCCTCCAAGCTTCAGTTGTTGTTGGGAGAGATAAACAATCCTCCAAACATTTGAAGGCAAGCTCATAAATGCCTTTAGGACCACGAGAACATAGCCCAGTGTAATCTCCATTATGACATGAATTTCAGATGCTCTGTCTACTGTTGCAGGCCCTTGAAGACTTACTACCTTAAATTCCAGCATGAAACAGACTTCTGTTGCATCAACGAAGTCTTCAATATGCCCCTATAAAATATGATAGATCTGGGGAACAAGTAGCTAAGCAATTGATCCACCTTTTCCTAAATGGCATTTAAGAGCTCGTTTATTACAGTTCTAGGATAGCTAGAATAGATAATTATACACTTCCACCTGACCATCCATCTTCCCTGTTGCCCACTTGTTCCTCAAAGATATGACAGCCTTATCCTTGTTGATTTGTCATTGATGAAATTCATTTCTATAAAATTCATCCAATAGGACTTAAAATGCTCATTGTACTAGTCTGGTAGATTTCATAGAAAGCAAGATTTTCATCTCACAACAGATATAGACTTCAATTTGCTAGCGATCTAGAAGTTATCATGGCAGTTATAATGGCCCTATTTTGTTTATGTGCCTTGAAAAAAAATAGTGTATTTTGGAGTTATCCTAAACTATTTGAATTAATTTGCTTTTAAAAGTATTCAGAGAGTATCTAGCATAGCTTTGACCTAAGATGTAAAGGTAAAAAATGTACAATAAATTTATGAGGATCTATATTTCTAATTACCAGTGTTGGTTCATAATTCCTTATCTCAGAATTATTTTTTCTCAGGATACTCTCTCAAATGGAAAAGAAGAGGGAAGAATCATTAAAAAACTTAAAATCATCTTTTAGTGCAATGAATAATGGCTGCCCATCAGAATCATCTGAGAACTAGAAAAATCCATGTTCCCAAGTCCACTCAAACCAATCAAATCCAAACCTCTGCAGGGTTGGATTCCAGTAATTTTAATTTTTGACAAAGCACCCAGATGAGTTTTCCCAGCCAGCTCACCATCAGACTGGAAACTGCTTTGGGAAACAACTGGCTGGAACAAAACTACATGGCCTGTCCTCATTCCAATGGACCAAGCTTATGCTGTAGGGAAAGACATGAAAGGTTCACGGAAAGACAAGGGTCAGAAATTACACTAAAAATTAATACATGAGACATCTACCATGAGCGTATGTAATTACATTAAAGTTCCAAAAAGATCAAAGTGAAACAAGAGAACGTTCATCTCTTGAATAGGATGTTTACTTCTAAAAGAGTTCCTTTCTTCCTAAATGCACTTTCAGTTATTATTTTTAAATTTATATGACAAAACTCATGAATAGCTAAGTCAACCCTGAAATTGAAGAGAAAATATGAGGAGGGTGCTACCCTCCCAAATATTAAGATATATAATAGAAGCACAGTAATGGAAAGTAACATGAAAGTGGTAGAAGAACAAACAAGTTAGCCTATGGAAGAGAATGGATAGCTCAGAGTGAGACTCATATAGAAAAGGAAATGTGTTTGTACAACCCAAATCCAGGGGGTTAGACTTTATAATACATGAAGTTGGGAAACTGGTTGACTATATGCAGAAATAAAACTGGATCCTTACCTCACACCACATGTAAGCTGAATAAATGGTAGAAGGAACAGATTTTAAAATGTCAGAACATCTTTAAGAGTTAATGGTGAGGAAGAATCTCTTAAACAAAATCCCCAAAGCACAAACTAATAAGACAAAATTAAATTCCACAAAAATTAAAGCAATCAGTGCAAGGAAGGAATTGGAAGACAAAGTTAGCAGACATGTGACACTGCGAGAAGATAGTGCCATGTCCAAAACTGTCAAGGAACTAGTATGTAGAACACATTTAAACAAGAAAGAGAAAGAGGACAAGCAAATGCTCATACAAGTCAACAAGAAAACTTTATGAACCTCAATAGAGAATATGGGTAAAAGCTATAAATAAGCAATCACTAACAATGAAAACACAAATTCTAAGAAACACATAAAGAGTTCAAACTAATTAATAGCAAGAGAAAGGCAAATTACAACTATGTCACTTTATACCATTTGATTGGTAGAAATTAGACACCAGGAGGGAACATAAATTTGTGCAGCAACCATGAACAGTATGTAGGTTTCTCAAAAAACTAAAAATAGAGCTACCATATGATTCTGCAATCTCACTCCTAAGCACGTATTCAGAAAATACAAAAATTCTAATTTGAAAAGATACATGCATCCCCAATGTTCAGAGCAGCACTATTTACAATAGTCAAGACATGGAAGCAAACTAAACACCCATTGACAGATGAATGGATAAACAAAATGTGGTACATATATACAATGGAATATTAGTCAGCCATAAAAAATGAAATAATGCCACTTGTAGCAACATGGATGGAACTAGAGAGTGTCATACTAAGTGAAGTCAAAAACAAATATCATGATATCATTTATTATGTGCAATCTTAAAAAATGATACAAATGAACTTATTTACAAAACAAAAATAGACTCAAAGACATAAAGAGCAAACTTATAGTTACCAAAGGGAAAAAGTTAAAGTGAAGTCTCTCAGTTGTCTGACTCTTTGTGATCCTGTGGACTGCAGCCCACCAGGCTCCTCCGTCCATGGGATTATCCAGGCAAGAATATTGGAGTGGGTTGCCATTTCCTTCTCCAACCAAAGGGAGAGGGGAGGGGTAAATTAAGACTTTAGAATTAACATATACACACCACTTTATATAGTATAAAATAATCAACAAGAACCCACTGTATCACACAGGTAACTATATTCAATATCTTGTAATAACCTGTAAAGGAGAATAATCAAGAAAATGCACATACATTTATATTTCCTTGATTACTTATATATAAAAAACTGAATAACTGTGTTGTCCACTGCAACTAACACAACACTGTAAGTCAACTATACTTCAATATAAATCAGTAAATAAACACCAGGATAATGACAAATTTGGGTAACATGTGGTTACAGGAATCCCCAGGCAGA